TAATTTTCTGCTTCAAGTCTACTCGAAATAGAGATTTCGATTTCAAAACTAAGTTTCGGAAAGGAGATCGATTGTTCCTATTTTTATTATTCTTGCAACAGATGTTCAAACGAATATAACGTGTATCACATTCAAACAGCTTTTTATCAATATATATATACATATATATATATTACAATCACAAATATTATTTTGCAGTTTTATTAAAATAATTTAAATTAGAAGTTAAAAATATTTATATTCCTTATATATTACTTTAATTTATCTAATTTATTGCATTCAGACAAAAAAATTTGATTTAAAAATAAGTGACCAATCCAAAAAAAGACGACCATTGGAGAAAAATGCTTCAAAATCTAGGAANTGTGTGTGTGTGTGTGTGTGTGTGTGTGTGTGTGTGTGTGTGTGTGTGTGTGTGTGTGTGTGTGTGTGTGTGTGTGTGTGTGTGTGTGTGTGTGTGTGTGTGTGTGTGTGTGTGTGTGTGTGTGTGTGTGTGTGTGTGTGTGTGTGTGTGTGTGTGTGTGTGTGTGTGTGTGTGTGTGTGTGTGTGTGTGTATGTGTGTGTGTGTGTGTGTGTGTATGTATGTGTGTTTATATAGAGGTGGATTAGAGGTGGAAACACTTCTATACTAATGCTTTTTTTCATATTTCTCATAGATCTCAATGAAGCTTTAAGTTTTTAGAGATTTGAGAGAATGACTATAAATTTCTAGCGGAAAATAGTTTTTTTAAACAACTTACATCAAAAAAAGTTACGATAGATTTATAACTTGTAACAGTTATTTCAGTTATTATATGAAAAAATTTCATAAGCATAGCTTAAATGTATATAGAGATATGGACATTTTTATTGAAAACTAATTTTTTTGTCAAACGATTTTTTGCTATAACCTTAAAAATATTCAAGAAAATTAAGCGAAACTTTTGGAGCAGTTTAAAATTATTTATACAAGTTTCGCTTTAAAATTTTAAAAAGAGTAGTGCTAACTATGCAATATACAAGTAATTAAAGTAGTTATTTTATACTGCGTATGCTCGGAAAAAATTAACATTTTTTTCTTCGTAATTTTGTAATAAATCGTGTTTGGCAACTCATGGAAAAAGTCCAATTTGATTATCCTAAAGAATTTAAATTGTCAAGCAATTTTCCAAGTAGTTTTTTTTAGTTTTTAAAGTAATGCTAAAAAATGTTAAGGGGATGTCGATAAATATTATTTTGCTTCATAAGGTAAAATTTAATAACAAATGATAGTACTTAACAATTAACGTTCATACCCCATAATGTGATTGAATAAGTAACGGAAACAGGCAAAAGAAAATATACTCTTATGGGAATGATTCTCAAAAATGCCGGCGGCATTTTAAAAATCTTGTTCAATAGTACAAAATAAATTTTGTGAGAAAAAACCCTTATCATTTTGAGTTTTCTTATCCAATGTTAACAAAAAAGTACAAATATTACTTAGAAAACAGATTGAAATTTTTAAAACTTTTAAGATATTCTATTCTGACATTTTTTATTAGTTGTCAAATACGATTCACTATAATATTAAGAAAAAATACTATTTTAATTTTTTTCACGCATGCGCAGTATACGAAATTATACTTTAATTACTCTTACCTTGCGCAGTTTCTTAGCGAAATTTTCTCAAATTTTAAATCAGCAGTCTTATAATTAATTTTAATTTGCTCCAAAATTTTTTTAACTTCACGGAATATTTTTAAAGTTATAGCGAAAAAAAGAAAAAAATTAGCTTTTAGAAAAATGTCCTTATCCACACAAATATTTAAGCTAAATTTAGGAAAGTTTGTGCAATTATTGCATATCAAAACCAAAATAACTTATAAAAGTTACAAATCTATAGCTACGTATTTTGACATGGGATGTTCAAAAACAGTTTGTAATTTACTGTCCGACCCTCAAACCATTAAAACTTTTAAACTACATTGATATGTATGAGAAATCGTATAACTTAAGCACTTTTAAATTTATTAAATGACTCTTATAGTATTTTTATATAAAGATCAAAAACCATGAGCTACTATAGAAGTGTTTCCATTATTTTATCCAACTCCTGTATGTATGCATATATATATNTAGCTTTTACCAGGGCCTAGAAGACAATTTTAAGCTATTTTTAATTATTTCGTATTTAATTTATTGAAATCTGGTAATTAATTTAGTAAGTGGAATTAAAGTAATACAATCAATTCATTTCACAACGGTTAATATTTAACTATAATAATGGGGATTAGCTTCGTTTTCTTACCTTTTGCCTGAGATTTTTGAACGGTTCTAAGATGTTTTTACCTGACTGATTTTAAATCTACAATTGCTTTTTCTCTAGGAGCTACAGTATTTACTAAATTTAATAATACTCGTGTACTGTGTCTTCACTTCTTGCTACCTAGGGTGCATTGACAAGAAATATATAATATATTTTACGTTTATAATGAGATAGATTAAAGTCATATGCTTTCTGTCTTTTTTGTCTTAAGTGTTATTTTTAAGCGAGCAGCTCTATATTTGCGTATATAAGCCTATACGTTCCGTGTAAACTTGTACATTCATATTAAAATATCATTTAAAAAAAACTGTAGCTTTTCGAACAAAACTAATCTCAGACTTAATAGCCAGACCCCCGAAATAAGTAAGATTAGGTACTTGTACAAATTCAAAAAAAATGCTCTCCAGTGTTGTTTATGCAAACATTTATTCAAATATTTAAAAGTTGAATATCTTTAACAAATATTTTTATTTTTTATTTAGTGATGGAAGCGTTGGAAAACTAAAAAGTTTTGGTTTTACGGGATTAAAAAACCAAACACAATGTATAGTATTTTCCAATGAGCAATTTAAAATATTCCAAGAAAATAGGATATTTATTTGATAGCATACAATAATCACATATCGAAACTAACGATACGAGCTCACAATTTTTTTTATTTTTGTCTGGTATTAGCATATTATCTAAAAAAATGGCTCAATATTTCGTTATTGTTTCACTTTATATAAATCAAAAACACATTTTGAGTTTAATAAACATTTAATGCTCATTTTCAGAAATAACTGCCGTCATTTTCAGACATAACAATGTACTGAATAAAAGAAATTTCTTTACTCTTTTGAAGCAGATTCAGAGTGAATGACCAGTGATAACAATTTTTTTATAGGTGACCTTTTTCAGTTATTTTGGTCAATGCAATCATTATCTAACGCGCCTTGGTTTAGGTGAATGATTAGTAAACTATAACTAGTCACTTAGTTACATATTTTTTTCTTGCTCATAATATTACTGATGGGGTTTATTTTGAGCCAATTTTTTCGTCTTTTTTTATTTGCATTTACAGATGTTTCTTAAAAACATTAAATTTATTATTCTAAGAGAAAACTGAAATTAAATTTTAAAAACTTTAAAATATCGTAAGTTTTACATTTACTTAGATAATAAGCAATTAATTACGCAAAGAAACTCAGTTAGAATTTTCATTAAAAATGATCGGCATCAGTCTATCTATCCAACTAATCGTAAAGTTTACAGTAAAGAGCATGTTTTTAACTTTACGCTTTTGAAACCATTTACAACTAATATAGTAATAAAACCACGATTACAAAACTTTACCTTTTTTTAACCATTTACAACTAGAATGTTTTGAAAGCAGTAAAAAAGAATTTAACTGGACATTGGATCTAGGTTTTTGTTAGGTATTACGCATTAGAGAGTGCAGGAAACTGCAAACTCTTCATGTGTTGAAGGGGATGGAGGAAATATTGTGGTGTCAACGCTGGGACTCAAACCGAATGGGTTCTGTCAGCTATGACTGACAGATTAGCCCTGTCAGCTATAATATGAACCCAGCTACCAGGAACTAAGCAACTTTATTAAGTGGACTTAGTTGGTGCGATAATATTCTGTTTATTTAAATGTATTTGGTAAAGACAGTTAATAAACGGTTTTCCTCACAGTTAACAGATAGAAAACTATTTTATTTATGGTTACTTGACTGTTTTATTTGAATATCGTGAAACCGCAATTAAATAAATTGTTATTGAACCATTTTTTCGCAAAAATGTCTGACAATGTCTAAGCGTATTTTTATTAACATTTAAAACATTTGGGGTAGAAAAACGTTTCAGACGCTCATTCATTTACTGCTCTTCCTCAAACACTTGTAGAATCGTCCATTTACGCAATTGAAGTGTCTCATTAACATTGCAAAAAAAGCTTTTAATGCGTTATAGCGCTGCGATGCTAAATTTATTAAAGTAGTGAAACAGTTTTGATAAATTAAAACTGTCTAAAGGAAATCCAGGGAAACAAGCAAATGATGGTAAAATGTAATCCATATCCTTTGGTATTAAAAATATGCTTGAATCTCAGGAAAATAGCGTAAATCTTAAGATTTAAGACTTAAAATACAATCTTTGAATAAAGAATCTCAATTCTGTGGATTTATACGCTTTTCAAATAAATTTACAGTATAAAAACTGTTTTGATAATAATGTATTTGCTAAACAATAAGTGTTATTACCACGTTTTAAAAAAATAACATTTAATTAATTAAAAAATAAATTTATTTCTAATTTTTATTACTTTTTTAATTAAAAAATATTTTTTGAAATTTTTTAAAAAATTATTTTGATGAATGTGCATTAATTATTTTACAGATTTATTGTTATTTATATATTAAAAATTTGTATAATTTGTTTGTTTTTTTAATTTTTCATTAAATAATTTTGAAAATTTGATAAATATTCCATTATAATTGGCTTTTATTATGAATTTTTCAATGCCTAAAGCGCATTTATCAAAGTCCTTATATTTGATTAACTAATTCCATTGTCTTCCTGGTTGAGATCACGTTGAGCTGCTAATTCCAGCATTTAAGAGATTCACGTCTGAGATGTGACTGGGTATTCACTTACAAAGCCAATAATAAAAAATAAAATAAAATATTAATTTCTAAATACATAAAATCGTGTTTCTTTTTTTATTTAGACTCTACTCGCCCAGATTTATCTGTGTTTCATCCCTTAAACACTACAGTAAAATATGGATCATCTGCTACATTTCAATGCAGAGTTAGAAGCGAAGCTCCCCCCAATATTCAGGTAACTTCTTGTGTATATATCTATTTGAGTGCATGACTGAGTTTGAGTGCATTTATACACACTGTTAGAATTTCCATTGTAAAATTGTGGTAAAATAACCGACAGCAGTCTGCCCATCCAATTGACCGCAAAGTTGATAGCAAAGAGCATTTTTTACCTTTAAGATTTTGAAATCGTTAACAATTAGTGAGGTTAAAAATCGTGAATACAACTGTACGTTTTTTCAACCATTTACGACTAGAATGGTTTCAAAGGAGTAAAATAGAAATTTTACCTCGACATTAGAGATAGTTTAACAGCTTTATGGTGCTTCCATCTATACTTGAATGAGAATATGGGACAGGGAGTGCAGAAAGCTCCTTATGTGTTGAAAAGAATGAAGTAAATAATGTTGTGATAACGCTGAACTTCGGAATCTCGTTCTGTCTTTCATGAGATTAACAGCTTAGCCCTCTTAGCTATGATGTGCCCTCCCTTACAAGGAACAAAGTAGCTTTATTTGGTGGGTCAAGTTATGGCGATAAAATTCTGGGTATTTAACGGTATTAGGTGAAAGTAGTTGATAAACGGTTTTACTCACAATTCATACTTTGAAAACTACATCTTATTTATGGTTATCTAACTATTTTGTTTGAATATAGTAAACTAACAGTTAAAGAAATCATTATTTAACGATTTTTTCCGAGGAATTTCTAACAGTACATACATTCTGCAAATTATTAAAGGTGGTTTATATCATAAATACGAAAATTGTTGTGAACTTTGTCAAATGTAAAAAGAAAATTTCAAATTATTTCATTATCCAATAAAATCAAATTTAATAATTCAATGAATGAACATTCTTAGTTACGAATTATATAAAAAAAGATTAATTCTGATTGTGTAATAAAGCATGGATTTTATTACACATGAAACATCTGATTGTGTAATAAAACTGAATTGGATGAAAATAAAACATTTCATTGCATGCTCGAAAATATTTAAATGATAAATTAGTAAATAATAAGTTCGTAAAATTAGCACTGTGGCAGAGGAAATTCATTCATATATATCTCCTCGAAAGATAACTTTACATTCTATTGACATGATTTTTCTAGAAATATTAATTTTATTAATAATTTTTGACCTATTTATTTTTAAACGTGCTAAAAGTTAGCTTAAATTATTTTCTGACTTACCATTTTATCAAAATGTTATTATTTCTATAGTAAATCAGAGACCTTAAAGTTTTTTATCTGTTTTATATTAGTTGCCATTTTTTGAATAATTTTCTAAGCTAAACCGAATTTTTAAATTTTAATATGGGTTTTTATGTAAGTGCTTATTATTTTAAATAACTAAACACTTTTAGGAACAAAGAAAGCAACTAAATGTTTTCCTCGAAACTTGAAAAAAAAATTAGTGTGAACCGTTAGTTTCTAATCTTATTTTAGATGGAGAAAGAATTCATGAAGATTATGAAGTTTATTATTTGATCGGCAAGTAAGCCTCCTAGTATTTCTCTTTCTTAAATGTCTGGGAGCATCTTGTTCAATATTCTTAATTTAAAAAGAANTTTAACTAAAATTACGAATTTTGAAATTAATATGATTTTTTAAAAGGCAAGCGAAGCTTAAGTGTCCCTTCACTGGTTAGTTTACCCTACTTATTTTTAAACCTGCTAAAAGTTAGCTTAAATTCATTTTACGGCTTACCATTTTATCAAGATTTTATTAATTCTGTAGTAAGTCATAGAACTTTAAGTTTTTTATCTATTTTATATTAGTTACCATTTTTTGAATAATTTTCTTAGCTAAACCAAATTTTTAAATTTTAATGTGGGTTTTTATGTTAGAGTTTATTATTTTAAATAACTAAACACTTTTAGGAACAACGAAAGCAACTAACTGTTTTCTTCGAAACTTGAAAAAAAAATAAGTGTGAACCGTTTGTTTCTAATCTTATTTGAAATGAAGAAAGAATTCATGAAGATTATGAAGTTTAGTATTTGATCGGCAAGTAAGCCTCCTAGTATTTCTCTTTCTTAAATGTCTGGGAGCATCTTGTTCAATATTCTTAATTTAAAAAGAAGAAATTCATGGTTTATTTACTTTATTTGTTGATTTTTTAATAAATTTAATCTGTTTTTGAGCGAAATATATTTCGATCGATTATATCTAGGAAATAGAAAAAATAATCTTCGATTGATATGAATTAAAAATTATTCATCACTATTTTTATAAAAACATTGCTAGAATTTTTTTTCATATAAATTTCAGACTTACATTAAATGCAATATAAAAAGAAATATTTACTTTTATAATAAATCCTTTACATTTACAGAGAGACAGTAGGGCATACATGAATAATGCTAAAACTGACCTTTTTCTACAAATCTTTTCTAGGAAACTACTGATGATATCGCTTTGACATTTTTTAGGGATATTTGAGATTCTAGCAATTGTATGCTGTGATAATGTTTTCGCGTTAACAGGAATACTTTTTGAGTTATGAAAGATTTTTGATGAAGCTTTTTAAAAAAATTAAAAGTTCTCAGTTTGTATCTTTTTTTTTAATTTGCGAACGATATATATTAACAGTTATCACTGTGCAAACATGGATATGTAAATTATCTGTGAAAAAAACTGATGCAATGCAAGATCAGTTTCAGCATTATTAGTTTATGTCCAACCCACTCTCTTTTAAAACCAATGATTCTAACCTTACGAAAATATTGTTTTTAATTTAAATATAAAAATATTTTATTTACGTTTCGGTCTTATGCAAAATAAAAATTTTATTTTGCAGTGGTTGAAAAAAGTCGAGGACAGGGACTTAGCTAAGATGAAAAAAGAAAATCATGATATCATAAAAGTCCAGAATGAAAACTACCGAATTCTTCAATCATCTGAAGTTGTGGAAAGATCTGATGGCTCTTTTTTGAATAAACTTACAATTCCTGAAGTATACGAAGCAGACAGTGGGAAGTATATTTGTTTAGGGGCAAATTCAATGGGCTACAGTTTCCGCAGTGCTTATCTTACTGTTCTTCCAAGTAAATATTTTTTTCTTCATTCTATCTGAAAATAATATTTTCTTTAACTTTCACGACAGTTAATCCGTAATTACAAAAAAATATTTTTAATGCTTTTTTTGGCATTATATTTCATGAAACTAAAATACATATTTAAGATTTTTTTTAAATTTTTTTTCTGTGCATTTTTTAAAGTCTTGGTTCGTAAAATTGTGCAGTAAATCAAGTAAGCTTTGTTCTTGCAGATTAAATTTTCATTGCAGTATCGCTTTTTATTTCATATTCATTTGTAAAATGTGTAAAACTATAGCAGAGAATTTAATCTTAAAGTATGAATGCTTTTAAATTGAATTGAATGTTTTTAAAATCGTTGATAGTCAAAAAGCGTATGTAGAGTGTGCCAAAAAAGGACTACCCTGAATAACTTTTTATCTAATACTCGGATTTTCACGTTCTAAAGCTCAATCTTAATGGCTTGAGAGGCTGATCTTAAATATGCTAATTAATAAGTACGTACGATATTTCAAGTTACGAAATTGGACAATAAAAGTACCTTTTCTGAATAAACATACATTTTTCAAGCCAGATTTAGATTTCTAACCTCCAAAATATGGGGGGTAGCCACAATCCCAGGAAATATGGTCCAAAAAGCTTGGTCCGAGTGCGCTTGAAGGTTTGAATCCCTTAGTATTAATCTCATTTTTTGCACATTTTGCTATATTTCGAGAACTTTTTAAGTGAATTGAAAATTTTTTACAAGCAATTATAAAATCCGTTCAAACAAGGATAAGTCCATGCAAAAAATAACTTTTAGCAAATATTTATTATTTTTTATTATTAAATTAAATAATTTTGAATTGTAAGATATATATCATTTTAGGATACATTTAAGATATACATTTTAAGATATTGCAAGATATATATCTTTTTAAAGTTTGTATTTTTACATAGTAAAATACAACATTTGAGAGAATCCGTTGAATAGTTTTTGAAAAATCGAATTTTAAATATCTGATTTTTTTTTAAATTCAGTATCTCAGGAAATATTCAACCGATTTTGCTCAAGCTTTGCATTTTGACATGTAAAATTGTCTAAAATGGTGAATAAAATTTTATGCCTTACAATTCAGAACTCTTTCGACCATTCAAGTTAAATAATAAAAAACTTACTAGAAGTTATTTTTCGCATGGAATTATCTTTGGACATACGAATTGCATGTGTGCAAAAATTTTTCAATTTGCCTAGAACGTTTTCGAGTTATAAGGAAAAATACCCAAAAAGTAAAATTAACATTAAAAGGTTCAAAATTTGGAGCGCTTTCTTCACCAAATTATTGGGACCATATTTCCCAGATTATTGGATTTCAAAAATCCAAATCTGCCTTAAAATAAATATGTTTATTCAGAAACAGTATGTTTTTGCGTCAGATTTCGAAACCTTAAACATCATCTGCACTTATTATTTAGCATATTAAAGGTCGTCCCTTCCAGCCATTAAGAAGTCCCAGAACTTGTAGATCCAGTCATTAGATCAAAAGTTATTCAGAGTGGTCCGCTTTTTCTACCCACTGAACGAAGCATTATGCTAACATGAAAAACAACATCATTTTTCAAACATTTAATCATATAATAATATGATATATATANGTGATTATCAAAATAATGGAAACACTTGTGAATAAAAGGGACATTTAAGAATTCGCTTCATAAGCATTAAAATATAATCTTAGCTACCAGTTTTTTTTAACATAAAAAGTACATATATTAGGTGGTATGAGAGAGCTTTAGCGGGGTTACCTACGTTTTGATTTTTTGTCAGAAGCGTAAAATGTCAGACCTCACAGATTTTCAGAGATTCCAAATTGTAGGAGCCCGACTAGTTGGAGCAACACTGACCGAAACATCCCAGCTTTTAGGCGTTTCTAGAGGTACGGGGTCTAAATTCATTACAGCATACACACAGCTCGGAAAGACAAGTTTAACAAAGCAAAATAGTGAACGGAAGGAGAAACTGAGTGAAAGAGACCGACGGGTATTGAAGCGGATTGTAATGTCTAAAAAGAAAACAACTGCAGCCACAGTGACCACAGATCTCAATCAGCATCTGGATTCTCCAGTGTGAACAATTACAGTTAGGAGATACCTTCATAAAGAGAACATTTACGGCAGAACAGCAATTCCCAAGCCTTCAAAATCTAGGGTGTTTCCATTATTTTGATAACCACCTGTATATATATATATATATATATATATATATTATAAGTTACATAATTTCAAATTTTTAAATTTCACCTTATTTTAATTATATGAATGATACGCTGTAAATAAATTTCTATATATTAGGAGGACCACGGTCTTCCCCTTTGAGCTGGAATCGAAGTGGTACTATACATCCTGGTCACCCTGGCTCTCTGTTAGTAGCTATTCCAATAACATTAGGCGTTATTGTAGGTGTTATGGTTGCACTAGTTGTTTTATGTCACCGTAGGAGGCTAGACACTTCCATACAATTAAATGCCTCCGGTTATGGAAAAAATTATATTACTGCAAAGTGTGCTTCAACAACCACAACTACAGTTCTAGACAACTTTAGAGAAGACAAAATCGATAATGGAATGCTGTCTTCTGATGAAGCTGAAGATTATAAAGATGAAGCAACGCTCTTACAACAAATGCAATCTGAAGTCGAGCTTGAAGACAGTGGAGCAGTTGTCACTAAAATATGTTTAGAGCAAAACTTTTCCAACAATTGCGAAAGTTGCTTGGAGATGAGGAACGAAGTGTGATATGTAATATGGTAAGTGTTGTTTATTTTTAAAGTGTTTTCAAGTCAAGTTTCATTAAACTGTTGACGAATAAAACTCACGGCGGAAATGTGTAGTTAAAATTACTTTATGCTACAGTTTTGTTTCCCAATGCACGTTTCAAAAATATTAAACCAAACAAATAACTTAAGATTTCAGATCTTAAATAAATTTATATATTAAGCTAGCAACATAGAAAAAAAAATTTCCGCAGTTATGAAAATCACTATTTCAACTTCAATTCCCACCGACATTTACTCAAAATATATCAGAATTTTTAAATGAATATTTAATTACATAATAAATATTAACATACAGATTTGTTTTTATGTTACTTAATGGAAAATTTAAATAAAATTAATAATAAATTTTAATAAAAACATTTAAATAACAGTTTTATATAATAATTGTAATAAAAAAATGATTGAATAATAATTTCAATAATCATGATTGAATAATAATTCCGATCATTATTATTAAATAATAATTTTAACAAAAGAAATATTGAACAATAAGCACATGTAAGGTCAATAATTTTAGTATACACTCCAGAGACATCTTAAAACGGTGCACGTGAATTTGTTAAAACAGTTTGTAGTAATTATGCTACTTTTATCATATGCATTATTTCAACTTTGTTACCAAATTTCAACATTACATTCAGTCGATACTTATCATTAGACACTTATCAAAGTACTAATATCTAGTAAGTAGATATTAAATACTTATCAAAGTACCCGATTCCTTTTCAAAATATGGTACTTTGTCACTAGATTTGTCACTTAATTATCCACAACTATGTATTTAAAAATTTCTGGGAGAAACGGAAACTGCATTATTTTATACTTCTGATTCTTTTAAACAGATTTGTAGTAAATTGAGAATTTATGGAATCATTTACCAGTACTTTTAAGTTTATAGAAAATTAAAATTAGAAAGTTTCTGTAAAAATAAAGAAAAATTATAATGGGAGAACCGGTAATTTTACAGAAATAAAGCAGTAAAACTTGAAATACTTAGATAATAAGCCTTTACCAGACACTACGATTTCAGATGGGGTGTTGAACCTTGTCTAAAGCAGTTGTAGGTGGAGATTCTAATCATCACATTGAACAGGTGGGTATTTACTCTTTAAATAAACAACCATGCATTGAAATAATTTTATGAAAATCCCTTATCTAGAGAGGAAAGGCCACACTTTCCGTAACCAGTTACTGAAAACTCTGTTATATGTATTTAATGGAGAGCATTCGTAATTTAACATATATTCCTGTTTTCTTATACATATTCTTACAGAAATTTTAAGTTTACTGATTAACTGTATAATTGCTAACTAATAGAAAATAAACAAGCATACATTGAAATTTCTTAAAGAAAATCCCCTATTTAGTGAAAAAATACTGCATTTTCTGTAACTGTGTTTGAACCAAACATTTGCAATTTAACAGATTTGCTTGCTTTTTTTAAACGCATTTTTACAAAAATTTTAAGTTTACCTATTTCCATAGAAGCAAATATACATTTTTGTGTATTGTGCTGTTAGCTAATAGAAATTCTGGAAATCCTGAAACAATATAAGTTAATAATAGTTTAATAATAGTTAATTAAGAAGAGTTTAATGTGAAAAATTCGCTGTTGTATAGATAATATTAAACCATGTTATTATTTTAGCCTTCCAAAATTATATAACAATGGAAATGTTTAAAAATGAATTTTTAAAATGCAACATTAACATGCATTAATTTACATCAGCAAAATTTTTTTTTAATTTTTTTTTATTTCAGGTGAATCCAATCTCCTCAACATTTTGAAAATTACGTCTGCATGTTTATTGTTTTAACCTGGAAGACTTACTTCTTGATGTGTTTTATTTTCCAAAATATTTAGAGCTCAATTTTGTTTGGATTGAAAAATCACGCGTAATAATGCATTGAGCTAAAATAAGAAAAAAAAGTGTACTTATCAAAAAATCAACATAACTACAGTTAAATGATATTGTTAATTGCGGTGTCTCAAAATACGCATTATTCATTATCATTCTTAACATAATATAGAGTAAATTATTCTCAATGCCATATACCAGATATTCCTTGGTGAATATGCTAATTGTTACGCGTTATTGCTTATTTTGTTACAGTTAATAAATTTCAATAAAACTTAATTCTACTTTATATAAAATACAATTATATTTTCTTCATCCAAATAATTTTTTAAAGATGGCCCTGCAATATTGACTTAAATTCTGTTTTTATTGTTATGATTCGATGCACAATAGAGACCATATAATATTGATGAAAACAGTTTTTATTGCGCCATGTTTACTCCATCACAGAACAGAGAACTTAACCAGTTAGGTATGTGCATTAAATCTTCGTTTCTTAATTTAGACGGTAAACTTCTTTCCCGTTTTTCCACCTAGACCTACTTAACTTCTTAAGATCTCTATATCAATTTAAAAGTTTGAATGAAATACCATAAAAAAACCACGTTTTAAATGTTAACTAGCTATTAATCCTAAACATTAATTTTTCATTCATATCATTTAGAAAAATTCCAATTATTTTCTTATTATTCTTATTATTATTCTGATTATTTATAGTAGAAAAATTCCTAGTATTTTTGTTAGTATTTTACTAACGTTTCGAAATTACATTGCTAGATAATTACTTTGAAATAAAGGATTATTTAACATTGAATAACTAATATTTATTCTGAGAATAAATATTAGTTATTCAATGTTAGTTTTTTTCTTCTTTTTTTTACTTTACTTTACTATTGTATTTCGAAATAATAACATTGTTCAAAAAATCTAAAACTATTCTCCAAATACCACTTTTCTTAAATTTATCAATTCAATTTATCAATTTCAATAAACATTTCAGTGTTTTTTAAGTACGAACAAATGTTTAAAATAACAATAAGTACTTAATAATTAGCATATTATAGCAATAAGTAACTGTCTATATAATTACAGCATTTCACAATTTACAATTAAATGAAAAATACATTTTTGAGAAACTGTAAATTTCTTTTATTTAGGAATTAGTTGCATAAAGTGCACAATGTTATGAAAATCTATAAAAAAGTTTATTTTTGAAAATTAAATTTATCCAAAACTTTAAATAATTGTTGAATACTAAGTTGAAAAATATAATTTACTAGCTAATTGTGATGTAATACTATACTGTAAAATATCGTTCCGATTTCAAAACGAAATTCAAATAATTGAAATGTTTAATACTATATTAAATTGTATAGTGGCAAATTAATTTTCAATTACGAACTTTTATGTTGATTGAGTATGTACTAATACTTTAAGTACCTATACAAATGAAGTAAGATAAAATATAAGTTGTCTATGCACCAAAATTCCTCTTTTTCCATTTTATTAATTATCGTCTTAATGATTTCGTCTTATACATACATTTTGCATAATGTTTGTGAAGCTTATACGCTAAATTTTTAAAATTAATTATCGGAATTTTTTTCTATTTATTTATTAAGTCCTAGGAAACATATAGTATTTCCAAAACAATTCCTTTTGAAAAATATTTCAATCAGGAATATTTCTAACATAAATATTAATTTTAACAAAGTCAACTTTTAAAAATTTCAACTTATTTTTCATTCAAAAATTCAAAATTTCAAAGGCAAATTTTATATCGTTGTGTAAAAAAGAAAAGTTTATCTTCTAACTATTATGTGAATACGTTAAGCACAGAGCAAAATTTTTAAATTTTGTCTGTTTGACAAAATTCCATGTTCTACTTTTTTTTACTTTAGTTTTACAAAGAAAGAATTGAAAAAAAGAAATTCAACTAACAATATTAATTATCATAAAGTGAATCATTTAAAAAAGAAAGTTATAAATAAGTTTTGCGAAAAATAAAAATCATAAATACTCATAATACATCATGAATAATTTACACCACGTCATATGGCATTTACATATAACACTTAACCTAAGTATATATAATATATGGTACATACTGTATTTGCGTATACTGAAATAATTTGCTTTTTTCTCAAAATACTTGAGATTTTGGATTAATCCTCTGTGTTGATATACGTCTAAATGTTTTTAAAGTTTTCGAGAATGTCACAATTTTATTTAATTAGATTTTAATTTACTTGTTGTATCATTTATACTATAACATGTGATGTGTTTTGTAATTGTTAGTGCTAATAACTATGAAGTATATGTTTTGATGTATTTGTTATGTGTGTTATTTTAATTGCATAGATATTTTTAAGATTTAATTATAGATTCGCAATACTACAATAAAATAAATTCGTCTATGTTTGTAGATGAGTATTTCGGTAAAAGAGTAAAATATTACTTTACTGTTATTGTATAAAAATGAGTTACATGAAAATAATTCTATGCACAGATTTAAATTGATAAAATTCGCCTTTTTATCAGTTATTAAATTTTATCAGTTATTAAATTTTATCAGTTATTAAATATTTTTATCAGTTATTAAATTATCATTATTAATTATAGTACCGTGCATAACACCCTTTCTTTTGTAATTCTACAAGTCCAATTAAAAAGAACTCTTTACAAAAAGGTATCTCAAAATTGAGCAAAAATTACTCAAATTAGGTCCGAAAAAATAATAATTTAATATGAAAACTCCATAAAATCAAAATTAAAACCACAGCATATACTCATTATTGAGAAGAATGCATAGTCTCAAAAAGAGTACGGTGGAAGAAATCTGAAAGAAAGATGCTTGTAGGCTGTCAGTAGGATTCAAAAAAAGGAACTTGGGGATCCTAGTAGGTTGCTCTAACCAGAATAGTAGTACTACTCAGTCTGGGGAAAGTTTGAACCCCTTATATAGTATCCACCGCAATGATACGTGACGCAAATTTTAATCGCTTAAAAATATCTACGATAAAGCGAAATAAGCAAAAAGTGACATAAAACTACCAGTCTTCCGACTAAGTAATTGGAACCTCTTTGAATCATTGAAATTGAAAATTAGCCTGCTTTGATGTATCATTGTAGCGATCACTATTTAAAGCTTCCAAACTCTCTTGATTTGGATATACAACTATAGTGGTTAAGGCTGCCTTCGACGAGCCTATGGGTCATTGGTTCGAGTCCTGTCTTCAGTCAGCAAACACCTTTCTCAGACCATTCTTCTTTCACATCACTTTTGAGACCACGCTCATCTTGCTCAAAAACTTAGTGTTTTCTTCTTCAATTTTGAATGCATGGGTTGTTCAAATTCTGCTGTTATTTGTTTTGAAGCTACTTTAACACATCTTTGCTCAATTTTTAGAACTCCTTTCTTACGATGAAATTTTTTGGAGTTCGAATTTTTAGCTCTGCAAATAGTTATAACTTTAAAGTAGTATATAATTTTTAAATATTTTATCAGTGTATTTTTTTCCATCAAAGCACAGGCATTTTTCATACAGTTTTCAGAAAACTATCAAGTTTAAAACACATTATATATATTTGAAAATTATCAAAAATGTTTCATTAACATAAGTTTAAAAACATATAATTTTGTTCATAAAAGGAAAAGTTTTGAACGTTTTAAAAATCGGTATAATTTTATCTTTAAAGTTTTTTAATTTTAAACGTTTCTAAGAACGAAACTTTAAAATAACGTCAAAACGGTATGAACGAAGCATATTTGATACCTTATTAAAACTACTTGCTTCCTGAAGGTAGACCCCAAACCACTTTAATGAAAACATCATATATCAAATATTTGTTTTCATTAATTTACATTAAAAGACAATATACTGTATTTTATGAAACTTTTCAGTCAATGTACTTATTACTAGAGTACTGTAAAATACTTATATTGAGAGAAGAAAGCAGTTTCTGAAAGAAATGTATAAAAAATTTCTTTAGACTGTTCAATTCAAATATTAAACAATTTTTAGCCAATAGTTACATGCCATGCATGATTAATGATATTATTCTATTATTTCAAACAAAATACCAAAATTATTTCAGTCAAAAAATCCATATCACACAACTTTGTAACATCAAATTATATAAAATGTATTATAAACATATCATATCATACACATGCAAGAATCAGAAAATGTTCATAGATGAAATTGTCATTGAATATGAATTATGATATACACGCGAGTTGTATAGATTAAATTTATGGAAATTCTATCCACATATCAGTACCAAACTTTCGAATTTTACTGTTATAATATAACTTATGAGCGCAATGGTACACGAAGTAAAAATTTCCGGTAAATTTACCGTACTGTATGGTAATGACATTTCTGGAAAAAGAAAACATAATTCAGGTTAATATAATCAAAATTTAGTAAATTAAAACCGTTTATTCGGTAATTTTTCCGTTCATATGGTAACGGATAACCGGAAATTCCAGTTTTCAAAATCGTAGTTCTTATTATCACGCATTTAAAAAAATACAGAACTGAAAAAAATGAGCTGAATGAATGGTTTTTATTCTATGTTCTAAGGTATCATATTAAAATTACCAAATTTTACCACGTATACCGAATTTTATTGTCACATATTATAATATCTTTTTCATTGATAAACTTATCAATTTATAAACTTATAATTACCAAAACGCTTCGATATAAATTACTGAGTTTTTCGGTGTTCTCATAGATCCAGATAAATTTTATCATATTCTGGTAGTTTTCGCATTGCTTTTTCTTCTCATGGTACAAATATTAAAGTTTGCTCTATCATTTTAATTTTTTAAAAAAAATGTACATTGTGCTCATAAAATTAAATTGTTTGTTTGCAGTGCTCAATATTGTAATAAACAGATTTTAAAATAATAAAAATGATGTTTTCAATTGTAGAGTATAATATTTTTATTGAAAATTTAAACTGTTACTGTTTCAGATATTTTGTTCTTCTTTTAAAAATATTGTTGCATCAAGATTAAAATTGTTTTTATTGCCAACCACATCAATCTTCCATGAGATGTAAATATCTTGAGTAAAACTGTTATGAGAATATAAAGTATAATATGTTATGCAAAGAAAATATTCTGAGTGTTTTATACAAAAAGAAATATTTTATAAATGTCTATGTCCTATTCGGTTCTAAAACGCATATCATACTCTAGGTTGAATTAGCCTCTATTAAGATTGTTTAACTTCAAGTAAACAACGGAGAATTTTCATCTTCTCAAACAAAGAAAAATATTGTATTTTTGTGCTACTACAAGCATATCATTAAATTATATATATCATTAAAATATGTATAAAATATGTGTTAGAATACGACGTTGTGAAATAAAAATAGAAAATAATACACGACAGAATGATTTTTAATCCTTTTTTTAAAAATATTAATTATTTAAAATATACATAACACATAAATATACAATTATGAATCCAATATAAATTTAAATTATATATTTTTGATTAGAAATGAAATGACACTAGTTTAGAAATCGTTAGTTTTTTTTAATAGTTTTTGTTTGATTAGTTTTTTGACTCACGGTATTTTGATAAAAATAGTGCAAAATCGTGAATTACAAATCGACAGAAAAGAATAAATAACATTAACCTGATAAAATGAAAACCAGACATTAAAATAAAAATATTAACTCTATATAAAATTTGAGAAAACAA